ATTAACCTCTGACTTTTTGGCCAGGTGCTGATTCTTCAGGTCTTGTAACTGGGCCATTGTCTCATCTATGATCTTCATGTGTCTTTGCTCCTCCTGGTTCCAGCAGCATAACAGGATAAGAGGTAAAGGTTTTCTCCAACTCACCTCAGCATCTTCCCATATGCTCCCACTCTTTACAATGGGCAGTTTGTTGGAGTTTCTCTTCTGTGAGATCTGGTTCCACAAATCCCTAATCACCCTCAAAGCCTCTTTACTTTTTTCTTTAATTATTTGGTTTTTTTTTTTCATCACCTCAATTATATATAAGATGCCTGCTATAGAAAAGTTCAAAATATGAATATGTATAAAACAAGGGAGAAAGAAATCAATTGTAATCCCACCAGCCCGTGAACCAATTTACATTTTAATATTTCCGCCTAGCCATTACTTATAGACAGCGTTATAAAATTGAGACTAAGTTATAACTCTGCATCCTGAATTAATGTTATTTATTAACATTTTCCAACAATAAAAACAACTTGGCACGAGCAATACAACAACATTTATAAGTACAATTAATAATACTGTATATTTTTTTATGAAAACATTCATATGAATGTAAAATTATTTCATTAGGTATATAAAAGGTCTTGATGAGGGGAGCTCTGGTGGCCTAGTGGCAAGAAGCTGCACTGCAATCACAGAGGTGCACGGTTCGAATCCACCAGATGCTCTGCAGGGGAAGGAGGGACAATCTCCTCCTGTACCAGTCAGATCTGATTTGACGGTACACGCACACACACAAATCATAAAAAAAAAAGGTCTTGATGAATACAAATTCAACTGGGATTACCTGTAAGGAAAAATAAAACAAACACTTAAACTCACTGCTGTCAAGTTGGAACTGACTTTTAGCTGATGTGCCAGCAGATTTGAAAAAGAGATTATTCATCTTTCTCCCTCAAAGTGGCTGGTGGATTCAAAGGCCAGAGAGATGATGCCTTTGGGTTAACAGCATAATCCCTAATGGACTATGTTACCAGAGTTCCTTTAGGGAAGAAGAAAAAAAAAAAGGAAGAGTCTATAATTGAACGTGTCAAATGGGATTGTAACCTTAAAATGTTCAGATTTTTTTAAAGGTAAACTGTTCTCATTTTGATCATAAAAAGTCACTAAAAAGTTACTCTCAAATACTTCATAAAAAATTCTAATATGCATATAATGAAGGAATGGAAATTTAAAATGAGGCAAAATGTTGATGACTGACAAAATTCTCATATTATTTGGTTTTATTGCACTTCACAGATATGTTTTAGAAATTGAAGATTTGTGGCAATCTGAGTCAAATATATCAATCGATACCAACTTTCTAACAGCATAAATGCAATTCATTTCTCCACGTCCCATTTTTGTAATATATCAAATTCCATCAGACTGCATTTCATAGTATAACATAACATGTTTTTCCCCAAAACGTAACCTTTATATGCACTGGAAAATCAAAAAAATTAATCATTCTCACGTTATTGCAAAGTGATACTTGATTATTTGGGGCAACCTGGAATATTTCCACAGTATCTTGTATAAGGAAGTTCTTTGTACTATTTTTGCAACTTTTCCACTAGGCTTAAAATTATTTCAAAATAAAAAAGTCACATAAATATATTATTCTGGATCCTCTATACATCTACCTAGTCTTGTCACACAATTTTACCACTCAACCTCCATTTAGTATTTAAGATTCCACTAACACCTAACAGTACAATTTTAGTAGGTAATGAAAGGATAATGAAACAAATAGGCAAACAAATGCAGGCAGACATAAAAGTTGAATGGTATAGTCAAGCATAGTGATGGCCAAACAACTTCACGGGGTGAGGCTTTTAGGAACAAAAGAATTAATTTAAACAGAAAAGGACTGGAAAAATTAAATCATCACAGTGGTAAGGGTATGCTAATCTAAAGAGAACTGACCCGAAAATCAGTAGCAAAGTTACACTACTAGTATGACAGTTTTAGCACATCATCTAAGGTAGTGATTTTAAATGGTTCATTTTAATTTCACTCATTTTGCTAGTATTTAAGGTTGTCATGGCTTTTTGGTCAAGTGAAAAATATATGTCTGGATCTATTTAAGTAACATTAAAATTTTGTGAGCCACTAGTAGGGAACTTCAGGAACATTTTTTAAGTAAGAACCATATCAATACTAATATAAATATAGCAAAATTTATTAAATTTCTAATTCTCAAAGGAGTATTGGTAATTTTCAATTTGTAACTAAATAATTTTCCTAATAAACATCAACCTGAGTGCATAAAATTTTATTAGTGTCTTATATTATTTCCATAGAAATGACTGAATGATCTTGGTAATTATGTCATATTGAATAACCTATCAGTCTCATGTCTTTTAGCCAATACAGTATGTACTGAATATTATCTTTTTAAAAAATGTAAATTATTATGACAGGACTCAAATTACATCTGAAAATTTTTCTGTTTATTTATGGACCATTTTTAATCTCTCATTGAACTGTTTGAGCCACTTAATTTTTTCCCCCTTATTTGGGTATTTTTTGTTTAGGTAAGAAATTGATAAATTATTGGTATTAGCATTTCTCTTTTACTGTTTCTGGGTGTTTTACCTTGTCCTTCCATTTTCTCCTTCCTTACCTTCTTGAGCTTTTCTATCTCATTTTCATCTTTTTTCACTGTCTGTTCCCACATGTGTACTTTATCTTGGTCCTCTTTGAGTTGGTTCTTTTCAAAATCCAATTGGATGCCCAAACGAGTCTTTTGATTCTCAAACTCCAAACTGCAAAGAAAAAGAACTCAAAGGCAGCACTTAAACTCATTTGCCCTTAATTGTTGCTTTCGCTCTTTTTTGTAACACATATTTTTATTGTGATCTGAACGTTTGCAAAGCAAATGAATTTTTCAATTATTCATAAGTTTCGTTTTATAACAAAATACAACACTCACAATGTAATCATATTTTTCCAATTTCTTCCTGAAATTTCATTTCCATGAATTCCTCTACAACCATGTCTTTCCTGATACTGTGCTGATCATCTCCTTACTAGATATGCCTTATCGAATATTTCACTCATCTTAATATATGGTGGCCTAGTGGTAAAGGGTGGGAAGGCAACTCAAAAGTACCCAGTTCAAATACAGCAGCTATTCCGTGGGAGAAAAATGGGCAATGCCTCTGAAAACCTGCTGGACAGTCAGCTATGGGCTGGTTCGAACTCTACAGTACACAGCAAGAATAATTCAAATATATGCACTAAGTACTCAAGGCAAAGATGATGAAATTGAGTACAATTACTAATTCTTACGATCTGCACAAGACTCAGATTCCTCAATTATCAGCAGCCAAAGTCAGGCCAGGTGGTGACTGCAACAGTATATCAATTACTCCTTTTAAAGTTGACATAGAAGCTCAAGAAAATGAAAACCAAGTCCACAAGAACCAAAATATGACCTTGAGTCTCTACCTGAATTTAAAATTCATCTCCAGAATAATTTGAAGCACTAAAAACTGATGAACAAATATGAGATGAGATTAAGAAATACCATCCATGAAGAGAGCAATAGGCCAATTACAAAGACAGAAGTGGAAAAAAAGACGAAAACAGATGTCAGAAGAATGTGAAAACTGCACTTGAGCATCAAAGAGTCAATACAAAGGGAAGAAAAGCCAAAGTAAAAGAGATGAAGATTTAAGGCTCCAGGAATAGATGGTATACCAATTAACATATTTCAGTTAACAGATGCTGCCATGGACGTGCTCACCAAGTTGTGCCAAGAAATCTGGAGAACGACCACTTGGCCAACTGACTGGAAGAGATCGATATTTGTTCCTATCTCAAAGAAAGGTGACCCAACAGAATGTGGAAACTACAGAACAATCTCACTGATTTCACATGCAAGATTTTACTGAAGATTATCCAAAAACGACTGGAACAGCACATCAACAGAGAACTACCAGAAGTCAAGGCTGCGTTTAGAAGGGATCGTGGTACTAGAGATATTGTAGCTGATGTTAGATGGATCTTGGCTGAAAGCAGGGAATACCAGAGGAATGTCTATCTGTGTTTCATTGACTATGCAAAGGCATTTGACTGTGTAGATCATAAAAACTATGGCTGACTCTGAGAAGAATGGGAATCCCAGAACACTTGATCATTCTAATGCGAAAGTTATACTTGTACCCGGAAGCAGTCGTCAGAACAGAGCAAGGGAACACTGCATGGTTCAAAATTGGGAAGGGCGCACGCCAGGGATGCATCCTATCTCCATACCTTTTCAACCTATATGGAGAATAGATTATCAGGGAGGCTGGGCTCTATGAGAAATGTGGGGTCAAGATTGGTGGACGATTTATCAACAACCTGCGTTATGCGGATAACACAACTCTGCTTGCTGAAACTGAAGAGGACCTGAAGCGCCTGCTGCAGAGCGTCAAGGACTGCAGCCTACAATATGGATTGAGGCTCAATGTCAAGAAGACAAATATTCTCACCAATGGACCAATTGGCAGCATCAGGATGGATGGTGAAGAGATGAGATTGTACACAGCTTTAGTTTGCTTGGCTCCATAGTCAACAGTCTTGGCACCAGCAGCCAGGAAATTAAAAGGCACATTGCCATGGGAAAGTCTGCTGTTAGGGATCTCTCCAAAGTACTGAAGAGCAATGGTGTCTCTCTGGAGACTAAGGTGCATCTGATACAGGCCATGGTCTTCGCAATCACTTGTTATGCATCAGAGAGTTGGACAATGACCAAGGAGGATAGAAGGAGAATTGATGCCTTTGAGCTGTGGTGCTGGAGAAGAGTGTTGAGAATACCATGGACTGCTAGGAAAACAAACAGATTTGTCCTGGAAGGGGTTAAACCGGGTGGCTCCTTGGAGGCAAGGATTCTGAGGCTCCGTCTAACATACTTTGGACATGTTGTGAGGAGAGACCGGTCCTTGGAGAGGGACATCATGTTTGGGAGGGTGGAGGGACAGCGTAGGAGAGGAAGGCCCTCTATGAGGTGGATTGATTCAGTGACTGGGATAATTGGGATGGGAGTGTTAGAGACGATGCAATTGGCACAGGACAGAGCGGAGTTTAGGGCTGTTGTACCTTGGGTCGCTATGAGTCGCAAGCGACTCGACGGCACATAACAACAACAACAAGCTCAAAAAGATAAAACAAAGTATTATGATGAAATGAAATACTGTTGGGGTCCACTCCAAATTACTGAGGAGCTGTTGGTTTGGAATTTAAGGTGTCCCTGATTCAGGCCATGGTTTTTCTTTTTTTCCAGGCCATGGTTTTTCAATCACTTGTTACACATCTGAGAGCTGGACAATAAATAAGGATGATATTAAAAACTTTGAGTTGTGGTGTTGGAGGAGTCTACTGAATATCCCACGAGCTGCCAAAAGAGCAAACAGATATGTCCTGGAAAAAGTGCAGACAATGCTCCCTGGAGGCAAGAGCTGTAAAGCTCTTTGTCTCCCATACTTTGGGTCATTCCTTGGAAAGGTGCATCATGCTTGGAAAGATGGTCAGTGAAAGAGAAGAAAAACCTCAAGGAAATGGATTAACACAGTGCCTAGAGCAATGGGCTCAAGTGTGTAAAGAGATGATGAGGATGGCACAGGATAGGATATGGTTCAAGTCTATTGTTCACAGGGATGCTATAGGTTGTACTCAACTTGACATCACCTAACAACAATTAATTTTTATAGTCTAAATGTGACTGAATCAAGATGTAGTAATAATGACTGATGACTATAATGCAAATGTTGAAAACAAGGAAGAACTGGTAATTAGAAAATATGGACTTGATAACAACAATAAGGCTAGAGATCAACTGACAGAATTTTCTACAAGTATATGATTTATTCATAGCACCTTTTTTAAAAAACATAAAAGTTGATTAATAGCCATGGATGTAAATACATCACCCAATGGACTACATAACTATACATAACTAGACTATATCTGTGGAAGTATTTGATGGGACTGATTGTGGAAATGACCATCAATTACTCATGTAAAACTTAAGATGAAGAAAATGAAACAAGTCCACAAGAACTAAAATATGACGTACAGTTTATCCTACTTGAATTTTAAAATCATTTCAAGAATAGATCTGATGCACTGAAGATGATCAAGGATGTCAGTGTAAAGACTAAGGTGGCCTGATCCAAGCCATAGTCTTTTCAATTGCTTCATATGCACCTGAAAATTGGACAATGAATAAGGAAGACCAAAGAATCCCCAATCTCTGTGAACTGTGGTATTGGAAAAGAGTATTGAGTATACCACATATACTACAAAGGAACAAACAAACTTATCTTGGAGGAAGTGCAGCAAGGATGCTCCTTAGAGTCAAGGATGGTGAAACTTTGTCTCACATACTTTGTTGTATACATGTTGTCAGGAGGGGCCAGCCCTTGGAAAAAGATATCATGCTAGGAAAGCAAGGCTGAGGGTCAGAGAAAACCCTCAACAAAATGGACTGACACAGTGTCTGTAGTAGTAAGTTTGAGCATGGTGGAAATCAGAATTATGAGGATCATGGTTTATTTTTCATAGGACGGATATGAACAGTATTCAACTCAAAGCACATAACTATTTACTAATTTTTACTCCAGTCTCATCTCCGGTAACCATCCAAGAACCATTCTGTGCATAAACCTTTTCCTAGCTTTTTCTATTAGTCTTGTACAACATCTGTCCTCTTGTGACAAAATTTAACTCAACCTAATGTCTTCTACATTTATATACTCGTGTTATAAAACATTCCACAAAATTGTTCTTTAGTGTTGGATAGCACTCCACTGTGAAAGTACTATAGTTTCTTTATCCATCCATTTAGTGATGGGTACCTGGGCTGTTTCCATCTTTTTACTATTATAAACAATGCCTCAATAAACATGTATGTGCATCTATCTATTCATGTCACAGACCTTATTTCTTTAGGGTGTTTATCTAATAGTGGTATTGCTGGATTAAATGGTATTTCTATTTCCAACCTTTTGTGTGTGTGTGTGTGTGTACCATCAAATCAGATCTGACTGGTATAGGAGCAGTCCCTTCTTCTCCAGCAGAGCACCTGGTGGATGCAAACGATGCACCTCTGGGATTGCAGTGCGGCTTCTTGGCACTAGGCCACCAGAGCGCCCTTATTTCCAACTTTTTAAGGAAGTGTCAAGTTCCTTTCCATAGTGGTATGAGAGTTCCAATTTTTCCACAACCTCATTATCATTTGTTTACTATCTTATTCAGCTTTGCTATTGTTGCTGAGATGAAATGGTATCTCACTATTGTTGGTTTGCTTTATCCCCCCCTCACTGATGTTTTGATATTCACCTAATACCAAATAAGGAAACTAGTAGCTTAGTCTGAAGCAACTTACACTAACAAAAAGCTGCATGTCTCTCGTAGTTCAAATCAACCTGCAGCTCTGTAAGAAAAAGATGTGCAGTCTCTTCCCATTGTGATTTATAGCCTTGGAAACCCAATGATAGGCTGCTATGAGTTGGAACAGAATCAGTGGCGGTGAATGAATGAACAGCTAATGATACTGAACATTTCTTTGTGTATATTGCTGCTATGTGCTGTCAATCCAATTCTAACTCAAAGTGACTCTGTGAGAGAACTGTCCCCTAGAATTTCCTAGGCTACAATCTTTACAGAAGCAAACTGCTACATCTTTTCTGACAGACAAGGAGATAAGCATTAAACCACTAGCCCACCAAGGACAAAGTGACTACTGACTGTCAGGTGCCACAGAACTCAACTACCCATATGGTCCCATAAAACTCTCCATTAAATGGTGCAACCACTATGGAAGGCGGTATGGCGCTTTCTCAAAAATTTGCAAATAGAGATACCATTTGAACCAGCAATTCCACTAGTGGGAATATATCCCAAAGAGACCATAACTGACATCCAAGCAGATATACGCACATCCATGTTTATCGCAGCTCTGTTCACAACAGCAAGGAGTTGGAAACAACCCAGGTGCCCATCAACAAACGAATGGATAGAGAAGCTGTGGTATATTCACACAATGGAATACTATGTTGCATTGAAAAACAAGGAACTCATGCAATAGTGAGCCTGGAGGACATTATGCTGAGTGAAATATCTCAGTCGCAAAAGGACAAATATTGCATGGTGCCACTGTTGTAAAATGGGATTGATATCAGGGTTGGGGTAAGACTGAGAAAAACTGGATAAATTGTGTATACTTCACTGAAAAAGGTGAGGGAGTGAATAATTTAAAAGCGATGTATGATAGGGTATTATGGTTATCACAAGAGTCCACAATTAAGGTTGCATAGTGGGAGGGGTACGGGGGGACTGTGTACCAGGGAAGGAGTGTTTCTTTTACTTTTGAAACAGAAGAGCAAACTGGGCTGGGCGGGGAAAGAAGTGCAGCAATGAATGAATGGAAATCCCAAATCTCTGTAAATGCTCATTAAAATTATTTTTTTTAAAAAAAACACCTCTCCATTAAAGTTAGGTTAGGAAATGAAGCTCCTCAGTCTGTGTAAATTGTGTGAATATGGCACAAAGCTGGGGAGATAAGGTCAAACCCTGCTCATTACACCCTTGATTACCGAGATCCTTCTCTAGTTCCTAGAAGGAGGCACAAAAAGAGGTTTATTTGAATACACCAATTACAATTCCTATTTATCAAGGTTCTATATGCATTACCTTTAAGTTGTTGCTCTGTGCTATCAAATTGTAAATGATTCGTAGCTGACACTCAATCACTTTTTCAGAAGCTTTAAATAGCACAGGAGGAGACTGCCCATTTTTCTACCATGGAGCAGCTGGATTCAACTGTGTACCTTAGGACTGGCAGAGCAATTTCTTACCAGTAGGCCACCAGAGATAAATCCTACTGTCTCTAGGGTTTTAGTTCATCACTCTTTTTTTATAAAACACTCCTTGATAATTCTGAGCAAAATGAGAATTTCATTTTCTTTGGCCTTGTTGAGTTCTTCCCTTTTTGGACTTCAAGCGCAAAGTTAATCTTATCTCAATTTATAATATTTGGAAGATCCTTTCTTGTCCCCCTCTTTATTTCAAGCCAATTCTCTCTCCCATTACCTTCTATATTGTCAGTGATCCACCATCCAGTTTCTGAGGCTATAAATCTTTATGGGAATATTCAAACTTACTGATGACATAGTATGCTGGGTTGCTAATGGAAAGGTCACTAGTTATTCTTTACTAGTTATTCTTACTAGTATTATTATTATTACTAGTTATTCTTTTGTTATTGTTATGTGCCATCGAATCGCCTCCAACCCATAGCAAGAAATCCTATGTACAGCAGCTCTGAACCCTGCCCTGTCCTGAGCCAGTCTAATTCTGACACATCAACCCCCACTGACCCAGTTACTTTATCAACCCATCTCATGTAAGGTCTCCCTCTCCTGTGCTGTCCCTCCACCCTTCAAGCATGGTATCCTTCTCCAAGGACCAGTCTCTGCTGGTCAAATGCCTAAAGTATGTGAGATGGAGCTTCAAAATCCTAGCATCCAAGGAGAAGCTCTACAAGAGAAATATTTATAGCTTCATAGACCCTCTGGACTCTGAGTTGGAATGGACTCGATGACAGTGAGTTTTTATATGTAACATTAAGAGTGCTCTCTGGTGGCATAGTACCTAGAAAGTTGCACTGCTAACCCAAAGGTAGCTTGAATCCAGCAGCTGTTCCTCAGCAGAAAGACAATCTCATCCTATGCAATATATTGCCTCAGGAACCTGCTTAAGGATCAACTTTAAACTCGTTCCTACTTGACGACAATGAGAGAAAGATCTCACTTACAAATGTATATTCTTGGAGGGGGGTTGATTAAAAAATGAAAAGACAATAAACACTTATTATAAACTTATATAAATGGTGTTATAAACTGCACTTACTTTTTAAGTCAACACTGCAGATTATTTATCAATGTTAGTAGTGCCTATAAATCTAGGTTTTTTTCTTGGAACATACAATCTGTGTATTTACCATATTTAATTTATATTCTACCTCAGTGATGCTTATCTATACATCATCAGTTTCCCGACTACCACAAACTATGCCAAGATGAATAATCTTGAATGTTTGGGGGGGATTTTTTGTGACTCTGTAGTTAAGATGCTTGTTGGGATATGGGAGTGGGTTGCTAAATTATAGGACACATTTATACATTTTCCTCACCAAACACTGCTAGTTTTTCAAAATATCTGTACCAGCTTATATTTTCATCAAAGTAAAGCTCATGAGGGAAGACTGCCCATCTTTACCCCATGAAGCAGCTGGTAGATTCAAACCATGTTCCTTTGGGTTGGCATCACAATGCCTCACCACTAAACCATCAGCATTTTTAAACACTATACTATTGCCATACTGCTTCCCTAGCTTCCCTGTTAAGTAAAAGGCCTACCTCCACTAAGATGTCATGTTAGTTTCAAGGGCTTCTTCATCTACCCTTCTGCCCACACTTCCACCTACCGCTTCTTAGCAATTTCATTTTGCCTCTTCACCTTTTCTTCCTCAAACTCCCGGATGTTGCGCACACCAATCTCACGACAAAACTCTTCAAATACTTCATCTTCTACCTAGGAGAGGCCAGGGAAGACAGAGGTTCTCTTCATCAGAAGCCTGCTTCCAGACCCAGTCCTACCTTGATGCACATGCTGGCACTGTTCTCCCCTCTACCAACCTGGTTCATTTTCTCCTTTAAGTCTTTCATTTCCCTCTCTCGGCTCTGGATGATCCTTTTGATATCGTTGATTCGAGGCCCAAAGTTGGCTAGTTCACTCTCCAGCTTGGACTTTTCCTGCAGGAAATAGAATTAAGAGGGAAAAAGGGACTAGGCTACTTAGAGGACAAGAGCCACAATGGCCTCATTGTCTGAACTTAGCACTCTTGCCCTAGTCGAGCCACTCACATCTGAAAGATCATATAACTTCCTCCCTGTCTTCAAATTTGGCCAGATTCAGTTCACAGAGCCAAGCATGCAGTAAACGCCATTAGTTATAGATCAACAATCCCTCATCTATTAACCATTGGCGTGAGATATTTTAGAATTCTGACTTTTTCTTATTATAGCAAAAGGCAAAACAATATAAATACTAAGGTTTCCAGGTTGCCTAGTGAAGCACTAATCAAACACATCACAGTTTCTACAGAGAAATAGCCCACTAGTCACATTAAAGGGAGCTCTGGTGGCTTACTGGTAAGGAGTTGTACTCAAAAGGCTGCATAGTGGAGTGGACTTGGGGGGGGATTGCATAACAATGAAAGAGTTTTTCTTTCTTTTCAAGAAGAGTGAATTGGGGGAAGAGGGTGTGGGTAGAGAGAAAAGTGCAACAATGAATGAATGGAAACCCTAAGTCTCTGTAAACTTTCATTTAAATTAATTTTAAAAAGTACATGGTTCAAATCCACCAGCTGCTCTGCAGGAAAAAGAGCAATCTCCTCCCATGCAATTTACTGCTTCTGAAAACCCACTGGAGGGTCAGCTATATGCCAGTTCTGACTTGACAGTGCAGAAAACATTCATATTAAATGTACTAAAACTATAAATCGCTTCACATCTATTAAGATTAGGCTTTTGCACCAATTTAGACACATACAGCCTTTGCTTTCAAAGCGTTCTGAGCCTTTAATTTTGTATAAATGATTACAGACCTGTACTAGATGAGTAATGAGTGCTGTTGGAACAGTGAATAATTGCTAGCTCAGCTGAACAAAAGGTCAGCTGTTTGAATCTACCAGCTGCTCTACAAAAGAAACACACAGCAGACTGACAAAATAAACCCTCTAAGAAATCCTATTGTGTCCTTTTATAAAGCCAGAATCAACTGTACAGCAGTGAGTTTGGCTTCTGGTGACTCTCCGGTGAGTAGAGAGTTGGTAATATATTATGCTCAGCAACACTTTCCTCTGTTCCCCCTCTTCTACTTTATACATTACATCACTTACTTTTTCGATTTCCCTCCACTTACTATGTTGTTGTTCTGTACCATCAAGTCGGGCCAGTCCTCCAGCGCATTTTCAGAGGTAGTTAATCGCATGTGTGAGGAGATTGCCCATCTTTCTCACACGAAGCAGCTAGTGAATTGAGGGTTAAGTTTTCTGTTTTGTTAACTGCAATATCCCCAATTCCTAGAATGATACTTTCATTCAAATATTGAGAAACCTGAAGCTCACTTTCAATAGAAGCACAAATATTTTCTGAATGAATGAATTATGTTAACATTAGCACCTAATATTTATGGACCACTTCTGTGCCAGTAGTCCTGGTGGCACAGTGGTTAAGAATGTTAAGCTACTCCACAAGATAAAGACAAGACAGTCTGCTTCTGTAAATATTCACAGCCTTGGAAACTCTATGGCAAATTCTACTTTATCCTACAAGGATGCCTGTAGAAAAGAGAAGGAAACAGAGCAAGTTCTCCACTCCTGGAGAAACCCAGGACAGGAATATGAGGACGGTCTATGGAGGACAGGGATGAAAACCAACCACACCTGCAGGTTTAGGGCTAAATGTCGTGTCTTAGTCTGTTCTAGGTCACTCTGTGAGTACTTGAGCCGCATCTGTAGTCCATGAGCCTGAGACTGCACCTGCCGCAGCTCTGCCTCTTTCCGTTTTGCTTTCATCTGTTCCTGAAAGGAAGAAAGAAGGGCTAGGTAATATGAAAGTGGTGAACCTGGGCTTGGAACTTCTCACTCTCAGGGAGAAAATTGCCTGCAGCTTACTTTTAACTCCTCTGTCAATCGCTCCTTCTTCTCTTTCAACTTGTCTACTGCTTTCTCATCCCAGCGGCGTGCCTTGGCCTTCAGGTCACTGGCCCCGCCAGAGATCACTCCTGACTTTTGGAACAGGGTCCCATCCAATGCCACTGTCTACATAAAATATAAAGAGAGAAGGGAAAAAAAGGGTTAAAGCTAAGTAGAGGACTCCTCCGTAAAAAAAGCCTGTCTATGTCAAATATAGGCAGAGGAATACCTTGTGGCGCTGGTGGCCCCCAAAGGCAATACGGCGGGCATCCTCTACATTGTCACAGACAAGGGCATTGCCACAAGCATACTGCAGGGCCTTTTTGATGTGAGGTGGTTCATAGCGAATAACATCGATCACAAGTTTGGCCCCTTTGAGCTCCCGGAGCTTCTCATCTGTAGGTTTCACCTGTAAAAAGCAGTTTAGTTCATGGCAGAATGCAGAAGGCTGGGAAGAAGGGTCCTCTCACACTGCCATGACCCCATCCCCACAAATCTTACCTCAAGGTAGTCAAGAGGTAAGAAAGTCTCGGGTTCTCCGCGCTGCTCCTTGATATACTGAATACAGTCCCGGCCTGTCTTCTCTGAGTCCACAATAATGGCATCCATGTTCTTGCCCAAAACCTTGGTTACAGCAATCTGGTATTTCTTTTGTGTGGGCTGGCAGAGGTCTATGAGGCGGCCATACTGAGCAAAGCAGGAAGGGAAAATTGAGGCATGGGGAATTTTGGAGCTACTTTAGGAATCCCAACTCCCAGTTCCCAAAGGAGTCCAGGATAAAATCTATACCAGAAACACAATACATGCAATGGATGAAAACGTCTGCTCTGGCCCCAAAGAAACAACTACTAAAGATAGTCATGTCTGAATCCAAAATCATTTTTCTAAACCTCATTTTTACCATTTTGCAGACTACTGCTGTGCCAGGTACTATACTTATTGTTGTTGTTGTTGTGTACTGTCAAATCAGAACCAACTCATAGCTGATCCTCTAGTGGGTTTTCAAAGGCAGTTTAATCACAAGGAAGGAGACTGCTCTCTCCCACAGAGCAGCTGGTGAATTTGAACCTCGTGCTTTTGAGATGGCAGAGTAGCTCCTTACCACTAGGTCACCAGAGGTCTTTGCTGAAGATAGTCATGTCTGAATCCAAAATCATCTTTCTAAATTCTATTTTTACCATTTCACAGAACACTGCTATGCCAGGTCCTATACTAGATAGCCTAAATAGATTATCTCAAATTTTTATAAGAATTTAGTAAAACCACTCTTCTCACATCCTATCAAAAGAGCAAGGTATGTTAAGTGTAGGGACCATAACTAATTCATTTTAATCTACCACTATTGCACAGGACTATGAAGAGAGATAAAGGGATTATTTGAGGAACAAAGCTCAACTGAAGCCAGGGATGGGATTATATCATTAAATATGGAATCTGAGAACTCATGATTTGATTCAAGAGTCTAAGAGATCTAACAGAATCTGCAGTTGTTAGCTACCATCATCTAGTTGGCTCTCACTCATAGCAACCCCATGAACAAAACCTTGTCCTTACAATCTCTGAAGATAAGCCCATTATATCAAGCCATTTCCTCGAACATCTTCCACTTTGATCTGACCTGATAGTTTTCCAAGTATGATGGGCTTCTCCAGAAACTAGCTCCCTGATGATGTTGTTGTGTACTGTCAAGTCAGAACTGACTCATAGCTGAACCTCCAGCAGGTTTTCAGAGGCAGTTAATCACACGGAAGGAGAATGCCCATCCCCCTGCTAATAACATGTCTAAAATATCAAGTCTCACTATCTTTGATTTCAAGGGGTACTCTAGTTACACTTCTAAGATAGATATGTTTGGTTGTCCCTCATTCAACAACTTCTAAATCAAGCTTCCTGTTAATGTACTGCTCCAATTCTCCACTGATAATCTTCAATATGATCTTACTTGCAAGTGATATTAATGATACTGTTTAATAATTTCTACATTCTGTTGGATCACTTTCTTTTTATAATTGACACAAATACAGATCTCTTCTAATTTGTTGGTCAGGTAGTTGTCTTCCAAATTTCTTGGCATTGAATAGTGAGAAAAATCTGCATCTGTTTATTGAAACACTTCAACTGTTATTCTACCAATTCTGAGACTTTCCCCGCCACCTATGCCTTCACTGAATCTGAGACATCTTCATTCAGTACAACTGGTTCCTAATCATATGCTATTTCTTGAAATGGTTTATCAATTCTTGTGGTACAGTTCATCTCTGTATTCCTTCAACTTGTTTTGATGTTTCCTGAGTCATTTAATATCTTCGCCCACAAAAGCCTCCAGCACTGCAATCAGAGGCTTGAATTTTCTTCTTCAGTTGTTTCAGACTGAGAAATACCAAGCATGTTCTACCCTTTTGATTTTCTGATATCTAGGATGCCCCTTCCATTACAGTACTTTGCTTTGTCTTCTCAAGTTGCTTTTTTAAATCTTCTGTTCAGCTCTTTTTTTAAAAGAAACCCTTTTTTTTTTTTTTTAGTTGATACTACTTTTTTATCAATTAAAAGCAGAAAAGGTGTGCTGGGTGCATCTGAAAAGCAATGAAGAACTGTGGTTGTTAAAAAATATACTCAAAATGACTCAATTTTTCTCACACTAGGGAGATTTCACTGAGGCCTCATCAGGGTGGGATATCTAAGGTCTAACTAAGATGCCCAGAAGGGTAATCATGCTCTAAAGGGGTAGAGAAAGAGGTAGCCAGGCTGCCACTTGCCACACAGACTTGTAAACATCAGATCTGGATTTCATAATGGAGATTGTGCTCTCCAAGGAACAATAAGTTCCTGGAAGGAACCGAGGACTTTCTCCAAGTATGATTGGTCATGGAAGAAGCAAATGGCTAAACTGGGGTGGGACTTGGTACACGTGGTTAGTCCAATCTCCATGACCAAGTAGCATTTCACTCCAGACATCTGCTGGCTGACCCACACCAGCTGCACCATCGGGCTGTGGTACTGGTTGTTAACTTTGCTGTACTTGCTGATGGTAAACTTGAGCATCCAGGAGGCCACTCAGCAGGTGTGAGGACTTGGCAGCATTTATTGTGCATGCCAGGCTCAGAAATGCCACCAGACCCAGCAAGGCCAGCAGAAGCAGTGGGACAGGTGAGGCAATAGCCATGTTGAAAAGACAGATGAAGTGAGAGAAGGTAGCCAATGTGGGTGCTGCTAGATCTGCCTTCAACTGCCTGTGCAGACTTTTATCTTGCAGCCAGGGCACCCTCTGCCCAGTCCTTCCTCTTAAAATTGTTAATTTGTTTTCTTACAATAACTTGTTTACATTGTGCTTTTTAAAAAAAATATATATATCCCCCTCCCCCCCCTTTATTTGTTGTATACTGTCGAATCAGATCAGACTGGCACAAGAGGAGACTGCCCCTCCTTTTCCAGCAGAGCATCTGGTGGATTTGAATTGTGTGCCTTTGGGATTGCAGTGCAGCTTCTTTGCCACTAGGCCACCAGAGCTCCTTTACATTGTGCTTTTACAATCTTTAATTTACATTGATTTTAATGTTGCTCTTGTTAGATGCTGTCAAGTAAAATATGATCCATAGCAGACCTCTAACAACAGATATGAACCCTGTCCTATCTTGTGCCAGCCTCACAAGCTCTGACACACACTCAAGTCCATTGCTATATTGTGCCAATCCACCTGGTCAAGGGTATTCCTCTTTCACCATCCCCGTACCTTTCTAAGCATGATGTCCTTTCCTAACAACATGCCCAAAGTATGCTAGATGAAGTTCAGCCATCCTTGCCTACAAGGAGCACTCTGGCTGCATTTTCTCCAAAACATATCTTTTGTTCTTTTGGCAATCCATAGTATATTCAGCACTTCTCCAGTACCAGTTTAAAAGCATCAATTTTTCTGCCATTTGAAACATGTCAATTGGTATTCCAATGATTCCTGAGTCCTTTTTTTTTTTTTCCAATGCCTTCACTACAGTCTTCCTTTCTTACCATTGGCTCTTGATATATTTAAGTGTTGGCCAGTTCTTTTTGGTATAGTGATTCTGTATAATCCCCCCATTTTCTCTTAATGTTTCCTGGATCAGTAGAAATTTTGCACATAGCATCTCTAAGTACTGCAACTTGAGGTCTGAATTTGTTTTTTCAGGTCTATCAGCCTGAGAAACACGGAGCAAGTTCTTCTCTTTTTATTCTCCAATTCTAGGTCTCTGTGTATTCCATTACAATAGTTCGCTTTCTCTTCTCAAGCTCCCATTTTAAATCTTCTGTTTAATCCTTTTACGTCAACATCTCCTCCCTTTGTTTTGGTTTCTTAATGCTCTAGTGCAATTTTTATGTTCTCTTCTGACTTTCATTTTGGTTTTTTCTTTCTCCTCTTTATTTTTAGTGACCTTTTGTGTCCTACCAATTTGTTGGTGTGTATACTTGAAGTTGTTCAGTATTAGCAATTTACTAATATTATTCAAATATTAGTATGTTGTTTCATAAAATCATTTATATATACTGTGTTTTATATAATTATTATAATTCATTACCATTGAGCTATGCCTATTACACTACCTTTTCGAGTCCCCACTGAATCTTTCCGATTCCTTTAACCCCCCAATCCGCCCACTAAACTCAAATCTAGTGATTTCCACCCTTCTCCTTTTCTGCCTTTCTCCACTGTTACCTTTTTATTTTTACAATAATGGTCTTATGCAGTATTTGCTCATGCATCAAAGTAGTAACCTCGCTCTATAACTATATATTGAGCAAATCATTCCAGAAGGTAGACTCTATGATATGAAAAAGAGTATGGCATTAGGATTAGAGGATAACTCAGCAACAACTTGCATTATGCAAATGGCACAACCATGCTTGCTGAAAATGAGGAAGAGTTGAAGCACTTATTGCAGAAGATCAAAGTCATTCAATATGATTACATCTCAATATCAAGCAAACAAAAACTCTCACCACTGGACCTACAGGAAACATCATAATAGATGGGAAAAAAAGATTTAAACCGTCAAAAATGTCATCTTACTGGGATCCACAATCAATACACTTGGTATCAGCAGTAAGATCAAGGAGATACACTGCACTGGGAAACTCTGTAGTCAGGGACCTCTCCAAATTAACAAGGATCAATGATGTCAGTTTGAAGACAAAGGTATGCCTGATTCAGGCCATGGTCTTTTCAATAATTTTCTATGCATCTGTTGTTGTTAAGTGCCGTTGAGTTGAGTACAACTCATAGTGACCCTATGAACAAGAGATCTGAGCCCTGTTCTATAACTATCATCATTTCTTTAATGTTCATAGAGTTTCCAAAGGCATATTGTTTAGGAAGTGGATGCCAACTCTGCTTCCAAGCCTGGCTTCATCTGGGAGCTCTACCAAGCACTGTCCACATGGATAATCATTATGGCATTTGACACACCACTGACACAACATTCAGTAGCAAAGCAACTCCAAGTTAACTTAGTACATCAAACTGACAGACCAGTGCTGTACCACCTGGAAGAATGTTCTTTTCAAACACAATTAACACCAACTGACTTTTAAATTCAAATACTCACACACCAGGTCCGGACTGACTTAAACAAGAGGCTTCTGAGAGCTGGATAATGAATAAGGATGGGAGAAGATATGATGTCTTTGAACTGTGGTGATGGAGAAAAGTACTGAATATGCCAAAAGAACAGCTATGTCTTGGAAAAAATGCAGTTCAAGTGCTCCTTGGAGGCAAGGATGGCAAAGCTGCACCACATATATTTTTGAGTATATTGTTAGGAGAGGCGACATCATGCTTGGAAAGGCCAGCAAAAAAGATCAAGACTCTCAAGACACTGCTTCAATGGACTTAAGTATGACAGAGGTGATGAGGATGGCAAAGGATAGAACAGAGTTCAGATTTATTATTCACAGGGTTGCTGTGAGTCATGCTCCACTCAACAGCACCTAACAAGATGTCCCTAAAATCTAATGGTTCTAGAACCCTGCCTTTTACTCTAAATTCTCCTCTAAAATAAAAATCACAATGTTCAACAAAAAAAAACTAAAATCCATAGGGTTAAATAAAAAAAAATTAAAAAGCCATTAATACAAAAGTACACAGTTCAAATCCACTACTTGCTCCATGGTAGAAAGATGGACAAACTCTTCCTATATGACTTACTGCCTCTGAAAACCAACTGGAGGGTCAACTATGAGTCAGTTCTTAATTGGTAGGACACAACAACACCAACATGTACAGATTGCAAAAATTCTTCTTTCACCCTCTTTTCAGGAAAATTTTATCCAAAAGAATATAATTCAAATTTGATAAAAGAAGCCATTGGGGAAAATATATTAAATTTGAAGGGGTTAAAAAAAAAAAAAAACCACTAGAATCCTCCTGAGTCCCCTAGCTTTCATGGAGAGGTATAAATTTGTCATGAGAGATCTCATAAACCAGACAGAATACTCCAAGCTAAATAATTTTATTTATTCCTTATAAAAGTGCTATGAAGAAGTAACTTATTTGTGGGAATCAGACTTTAAGATGGCTCCAACAATCCCCATCTCTTGAAAACTAACACCCTTGTGTAACCCCCCTCTCATACTATATCAGGGTGAGACTATGACTAACAGAACACAACAGAATTAATGGCACATGACATCTAAGGCTAAAGTCATAAAAGATATTGCACTTTTGCCTCTTTGAGATTATGTGTTTTGGGGGAGAACAGCCAAGACATGAGGACACCAAGTCTTATGAAGAGGCACACATGTGGAACCGTGGCCTCCTGTCAATGTAGTGATCCTGAAAGTGAATCTTCTAACCCTGTCAAACCATGAGCTGACTATAAACTCATGGGAAACCTTGAGCCAAGAGAAAAAGTCAACAGGTTAGCTGGTATATGCCAACAGAGCTCATAAAGACGATATGCACAAAACTTTCTGAATAGAAATGTTCCAAAGTCTGCTCAGATTCTCCACTTTCCACGGAGGAATGGATATAGCAAGTCAAGCCCATAAGAAGGTAATAAATGGGATGAGAAGGTGATCTGGCTGCGACATCTATCACCACACTGATCTCCAGAGTTGATTCGGCTGATCTGGATAGCTAGGCGGGTGTCCCCTTTTTCCCTCACTGATCCATGGGTGTCCTTCCCAAAGCTGCACGCTCACTTGAAGAGGACAACCATCCCAAACAGAAGACTGTCCTTTGGTCAAGGGGATACAAGTAGCTGCACGCACCTACTAGAACATCCAAACAAGCTCTCAAGAAGGTAATAAATGATGTGATGAAACTATCATGAGCTCCAGAATCTAAACATCCAAACAAGCTCTCAAGAAGGTAATAAATGATGTGATGAAAATATCATGAGCTCCAGAATCTAAACAAGTGGAGTCTGAAACACCTTTCATTTATGCACCTTGGTTAAGTCATTCAGTTTCTCTGAGCCTCAATTTCCGAAACTGTAAAAAAAGGTTAGCCACTCTGCTCTCACAGGGTTGCTGGGATAATTATGACAGTCAGTGAAGAGTAGATGCTCAGGATTAGTTCCTTTTCCACTCTTACCACAGAACCAGGATAAAGGCGCTTGATGCTTTCCATGATCTCTGCCTTTCGTTGCTGACGGCTGCTCTCCTGGCGATCAATGCGGGCATCCCCCAGCTGTTCCATCACCTGGTTTAACTCCTTATTGATCTCATCAATACGCCGTTTGGCCATTTCCACCTCTTCTGTCAGTTCCCCTTCTAGCTTCTTTTGCTCCTCAAGAGACTGCCTACAAATGCAGGGAACAGAGATTATCTTAATAAAAAAAAATATTCCCAACTCTAAGAGCCATGCCTGGACAGGGGCAGGATAGATGGGAAGTGATAAGAATAAGCTTGGGGGAGTGTGGGGGGATTGTATACTGATGAAGGAGTTTTTTCTTTTGCTTTTCAAGAAGAGCGAACTGGGGTGGGGTAGGGTGGACAGGGAGAAAAGTGCAATAATGAATGAATGGAAATCCAAAATCTCTGTATATGTTCACTCAAATTCATTAAAAAAAATAAGCTTGGAAGTAGAAGAAAAAGGTACTGCCCATACTTGCTAGTGGTTATATATTCCTCCAGTTTCTCAATCCGCTTCTGATTCTCTTCTATCTCCCGGAGTTTTTGTTTGATCTTGGCCTGAGCGAGATAGATATATGCTCCAACACCAGGGGTTGAACTGGTTAACTCCAAAACCTCACTACATGCACAGTCATCTAATAGTCCAGGACAATCTTTAACAAATGCAGGCGGCCTACTAAAAAGCATATATACAGATTATGCTCAATATGGACCTACAAAATTGCAGGGCCCTCTCAGGACATCAAAGACTCTCTCCAGGCTATCAATTTTCCTTGTTCAGAGACTTTACAGCCTTTTCTGCACCAATTTTCTCCTATGGAAAATGTAGATAATCTCTACTTCGCAGAATATATAGGATGAACTTATTTTAAAGTAGCTGTTAAGATGAATGACTACCTCACATTCTCTTAAATAAAAGAAATGCTTAGCAGAATACCTGGAACACTGTAGGCTCTTGGAACACTATTACAACTTTCTATGATAATTACTATTATTGATATTAGGGAGCTCTGGTTGGCTTAGTGGAAAGGAGTTAAGCTGACAACCACTAGATGCTCCATGGGAGAAATATGAGCAATCACCTTCTGTAACCTGGTAGAAGGTCAGCTACCAGTCGTTCTGATGTGACAAACAGTACGTAAGAACAACAACATTAGGGATATTAGGGAGGCAGTAGATAAGTATACTTGATAAGAGTGTAAATTCTACAGTTAGATTGTCCAGGTTCATATTCTGATTCTGCTACTTAATAAACATGTGATCCTGGACAAGTTAATTTATCTCTGTCATAGTTTCCTCATTTGGAAAATGAGAATAAGTAAGAGTACCCCACCCCCCCTGAGGATTTTCATAAATGAGGAATTAAATAGTGAATGTATATAAATAGCAGTGACTGGCACACAGTAAATGATTGGTATGTTAGTTACTATCATTATTTGTACTTATTATTATTGTTGTTAGGTGCCACTGAGTCAACTACACTGAGTCACCCTCTGATCTGAACGCTGTGCCATCCTCATAATTTCTGTCAAACTCAGGTCCAAAATAGTAGTCACTGTGTCAATTCATATCATTAAAGATCTTCTCTTTCTCTGACCCTCCACGTTCCCCAGCATGTCTCTGTTCAAAGACTGGTTACTTCTAAGAATATGCCCAAAGTAAATTAAATGAATTTTCACTATACTTGCACTTCCCTCAAGATTTGTTTATGCTTTTCAATACTGTTCACCAACACAATTCAAAGCACTTACTGTTATCATTGAAAAACCCTTCTCACTGGAACATTATCCCTAATCCTGTAACTCATACCCACCTCTGTCTCAACTTTCTTCCTCTCTTCCAGATCTAGTCGGTCCTGGTCAGCTTTCTGGTCTCGATTAAACTTCTCCAACTCCTGGGCCAGGGTAGCTGCTCTCTTGCTGGCTTCTTCTTTCAGCCGGTGATACTTCTTCACCTGTGTTCAGGACAAAGAAAGATGACAGAAATTACTAAATCAATCTAGCAATCTCCTCCCCCAATTCTTCTCTGAGCTTACCTGGTTCTCCTCCAGAGTCAAGTCTCTGCCTTGACTCTGGCTCTCCTCTTCCATTCGTTCCTCAAACTCCTGTCGTGCTTTCTCTACTGACAGCATCTCCTTCTCTAGCTCATCCATGTCACCTTTACGTTTCTTGTAGTGTTTCTGTGCATTCTGTAGGGACTTTTTGGCTGCTTCCAACTTCTTAATTTTGTGAGAGGTATTCTCTTTGGCTTTGATGTACTGAGGCCGTTTCTGGTTAAGCTCTGAGTCCTTCTCTCTTTTGCCAGAGGAGAAAATCAGTCAGTGTTTTGTTAAAAGGGGAAGTTCCTAGGATTTTTGCTCCAATAAAGGGGACACAAGCTTCACAGCCAGCCTCAGGGAACTACCTATCAAGGGGGCTTGTTGTCCTATAGATTCTCACCAAGGGGCCGTCTCACTACTTCTGGAGCCCACAGCTTCAGTCTGGAATTCCAGTCAGTCTATAAGGCAATGCATTCTTTACCTCAAGCCTTGCCTTCCCAACGCCCTCACTAATAACACTCTGTTACCTTAATTGTCTCCATCTAATCAAACTTTCTCAAATTCCTATTCTTTATATTTTAATTCTAGTTTTCCTCTTCAAGAAAGGCCTTCCTGTCTATCCATTGCAGCAGCTAGGCCTTCTATCTCATCTTCTCATTCGGCAAGTCTATTATCTCTTTCATGGTTTCCTTCTCCTGAGGACCTACCTACCGTACAATGCCCAAGTATTTAAAGATTCTGCCTAGTTCTGGTCAAAGCAAGTCAAGGCAAATACATAGAAACAACTAGTATGGGCACTGGACTCAAGACTCAGAGGAGCCCTAGAAACTATATAGCCTGTGGGTTTCCCTCAAATCCCAGAACCAGGTCTGCTACTTACTTGATCTCCTTCTCAATCTGCTGCTGCTCCCGCATCATTTTCCCCAGCTCCTTCTTCTTCTCCTTCAGCTCATCCTCTACCTTGTCCATGCGTTTCTTGTCTTTCTCAATTTCCTTGTTCTTAGAGGCTAGTTCCTTGTTGAGCTTCTCAATTTCTACCTCATTGTGGTAAAGCTTAAAGAGTTGTAGCTGTACCTGAGCTCGTACTACCTCATCCTTTAGGCGCTGATATCGGTCAGCCTGTGCAAATAAGGGCAAGAATACATCAGTATGCCATAGGTTCCATCCTCTTCCATCAGTACCAAGAGGTAGCCTGGCTACCTACCTCTTCCTTCTCCTGTTTGGCCTCCTTGCGTTCTGCTGCAATGTTTTTCTTGCGATGGTAATTAAACTGAGTATCCTCTTCAGCCTTCACCATTTCCTTCTTTCGCTTATCATACTCCTGGGCCAGCTCCCCAGAGCGACTGATCTCTTCAAACAGAGCTGTTCTCTCTTTGGGGTTCTTCATGGCAATGGATTCCACAGCACCCTAGTAGAGATGAAAACAATCTTCCCACTTAAGACTGTGCAAAGATCTAGAGTTAAAAATCAAAATAACTGAAAACAAATTCAAGCCTTACAGTGCAATAATGAAGGACTCTATGGGCAAAGTCTTTAAATGATCCAGGAAGCATCAAAAAAGATGGAAGAAATACAGAATTACTATACCAGGAAAAGAAAGTGCCTGTATAATCAAGAGCTAAAAGTAATGAAGGAAGATGTTCAAGCTACACTGACGGCATTGGCAAAAAAATAAGTTTCCAGGAATCAATAAGATACCAATTGACACATTTCAACAGATGCAGGCCTGGACTAGTTGAAGCCAAGAAATCTGAGGATAGCTACCTGGCCAACTGACTGGAAGAGATCCATATTTTTTCCCATTCTCAAAAAAGGTGATCCAACAGAATGTGGAAATTATAAAATAGTATCATTAATATATGCAAGTAAAATCTTGCTGAATATTATATAAAAATGGCTAGAACAGTATATCTACAATGAACTGTCAGCAATTCAAGCTGGTTATCGAAGAGGCCATGATACAAGGGCTATTACTGTTGATGTCAGATGGATCTTGGATGAAAGCAGAAAATGCAGGATGTTTGTGTTTTATTTACTACTGAGGGCATTTGACTGTGTGGATTTTAACAAATTATGGATAATGTTAAGACAATTGGAAATCCTAGAACACAAAATTGTGCTTGTGCAAAACTATACCTAGACTAAGAAGTTGTCTGAATAGTACAAGGGAACACTGCAAGGTTTAAAATCAAGAATGATGTATGTCAGGGTTGGATGCTTTCTCCATTATCTTTTCAATCTACATGCTGAACAAATCATTCGAGAAGCTGCATTATATGAAGGACATGCAGCATCAGAATTAGAGGAAAAGTTATCAACATGTGTTATACAGATGGCACACTCCTGTTTTCAGAATGTGAGAATTGAAGCACTGAGCTTTTAATACTCATTACATCTCAACACCAAGAATACAAAAATTCTTCCCACTGGAATGACAGGCAACACTGTAATAGATGGAGAAAAGATTGACATTATCAATGATTTATTTGGATAAACAATCAACACCCAAGATAACAGCAGTCAAGAAATCATAAACATATTGCCCTGGGAAAATCTGCTTTTAAAGACCTGTCCAAAGTGCTAAAGAAAAAGGATGTCACTATAAAGACTAAAGTGCACCTGATCAAGCCATCATCTTTTCAATTACTCCGTATGTACCTGAAAGTTGGACAATGAATAAGGGTGACAGAATCTGAATCAATGCCACTGAGTTGTGTTGATGAAGAATACTAAGCAGTACTCTACTTTTTGCATGGACTGCTAAAAAAAATAAACAAGTCTGTCTTGGAAGAAGTGCTCCTTAGAGATGAAGATTGTCTCACATATTTTGGGCATGTTGTCAGGAGAGGTTAGCCCTTGGAAAATTACATCACGCTGGGAAACATGGAAGGTCAGAGAAAAGAGAGGAAGATCCTCATCAAGATAGATTCACACAGTGGCGCTAACAATGGGCTTGAGCATATTAGAGATTAAAAGGATGGTGTAAGATAAACAAAGTTTAGATCTGTTGTTCAGAGGGTCACTATGAGTCGTAGGCAACATGATGGCACCTAACAACAACTTAAGACTATAGCCAGTCCAGTTCTCTCTACTCACTCCAACTCATTCATTCAGAAGTTTGCTAACCTTCCCATTAATTGCTATATTTCACACTAAGCTTTGATGACACATTCCTTGCTTTTTCAGGAGGACAAGAAGGAAAAAAAAAAAAAACAATCCCAGTATATTATGTGCCTTGACAAAAGCAGCACAGAAAAATGGCTTGTAGGTAGGCTGCAGAGATCTAAGGCAACATCTAAGTTTAATTTTGGAAGACAGAAAAGAATTAACCAAGTCATTAAAAGAGAAATGGTTATTCCTTTTAGAGAAAGTAGTATGCAAAGGCCTGGAGATCAAAGAAAGCACATCAGTTTATATTAAAGAGTTGGAGAAAAGGCTGATGAGATTAATGAGGTTGGAAAGCACCTCATTTTGGAATCTGAATGTCATCCTCAACGTACCTCAAACTTTAGCACGAACCACAGTAACTTGGAGAGCTTGATAAAGTATAAACTGCTATGCTCCTGTAAGAAATCACCTACATGAGACCAAAGGGTTAACAATTGAAGGGAAATGAAATTAATGGAAACTGAATAACCAGAACAGAAATGAGAATGCAAAGAACATAATCCATGTCACCAATTGATATAGAAATTGTTAAATGAGAACCTAAAAACTATTATGTAAACCATCACCAAAAACACCATTTTAAAGAAAAACTGAAACTACCACAAACTGGTATCTCCTATCTCAAAATATAGGAGTGTGCAGGCCTAGGAAGGGCCTGAGAATTTGCATTTCTAGTATGCTCCCAAAGGAGCCCAGATGGAGTAGTGTGGAACATGATGGGCTGCTAAGCAAAAGATCAGCAGTTCAAATACACCAGTCATTTCAAGAGAAAGATGGGCAGTCTCCTCCCATATTTACAATCGCAGAACTCAGTGGAAAGTGACCATTAAGTCAGAATGGATTTGAAAGCAGTGTGTTTGGGTTTTGATAGCATGCTCCCTCACAATGTTAATGTAGTCTGGAGACTACAGTTCAAAAATTATCATAAGGCAATGAGAAATCACAGAAATGCTTTGAGGAGAAAAGACAAATTTATGACTCCATAAGAACTTGATCTAAGAGGTGAATATGAAGGAGCCAGACTAGAGTCAGGAAGTTCAGTGAAGAAGATGGTACTAATAGTTCAAAGGAGAAAGGGGGAAAAAACCCTGATGGAGCAGACTCAGTGGGAACAAGACCAATCTAAATCAAATCTACTGCTACTGAGTTGATTTCAACTCATAGTGACCTTATAAGACAGAACAGAACTCACAAGCTACAACCAGGAGAAGATAACACAGATGAATGGGACCTTCTAAGACTCAAATCCCTATGCACATCCAAAAACTTCTCCAGTAGGGTAAAAAGGGAAGCCACTGACTGGGAAAAAGTATTCGGTAATAACATATCAGATAAGGGACTTATATCCAGAATTTATGAAATACTTGAGCACCACAACAAGATAAAGGTAAATAATCCAATAGAAAAATGGGCACAGGATATGAACAGGCACTTCACCGAAGACGACATTCAGATGGCTAACAAACACATGAAGAAATGCTCAAAATCCCTAGCCCTAAGAGAGATGCAAATTAAAACAACTATGAGATATCATTTCACCCCAGTCAAAATAGCAAAATTTAACAGAACAGCAAGCAACAAATGCTGGCGAGGTTGTGGAGAAACTGGAACGCTGATTCACTGTTGGTGGGAGTGTAAAATGGTGCAACCCCTGTGGAAAGCAGTATGGCGCTTTCTCAAAAAGTTGCAAATAGAGATACCATTTGACCCAGCAATTCCACTACTGGGAATATACCCTGAAGAGACCATAGCTGACATCCAAGCAGATATATGCACACCCATGTTCATTGCAGCTTTGTTCACAATAGCAAGGAGTTGGAAACAACCTAAGTGCCCATCAACAAATGAATGGCTAGAGAAGCTGTGGTATATTCGCACAATGGAATACTATGCTGCATTGAAAAACAAGGAACTCATGCAATATTATTCAAAATGGTTGACTCTGGAGAACATTATGCTGAGTGAAATATCCCAGTCACAAAAGGACAAATATTACATGATGCCACTGTTATAGAATGGGACTGTCCTTGGGGTTAGGGAGACACTGAGTAAGATGGGTTCAATAATGTATACTGCACTGAAGCAGAGGAGGGAGAGAACCGTCTAAAAGAGAGATGTAACTGGGTATTTCTGTCATCACAGGAGACTAGAGCGAGGGCCGCATGGTGGAGGGGACCTGGGGGAGGGTTTGTAAAACAATGAAAGAATCTTTTCTTTTACTTTTCCATAATTTTTGGACTCATGTACTTATAACTTGTTAGTCAAATTTGTGTCTTCTAGGTTGCAACACCCCCATGATACATCTTGAAGGATATGTACATGTACAGCCAAGCACAATCAATAAGAGTGCATCTGAATTCCAAAATCAATCTCCATAATAGTCTATGTGTTTCCTACTGCCAAAGGGGCCCTTTAGAGTAGTGAGAGAAGATCTTCACCCTGAAACCCACAGCGTCCCTTTTCAGCAGGAAGTAGCTAAGAGAATACGCCGTCCCCTTTTCCTTATGACTCAGGGTGAAGTCTCTCTCAGGGAGGAGTGATAGGGAATGGCAAAGGATACACTGACAAAGAAGATTAATCAGAACTGGCTTTGACAAGCACTGTGGCATTTGGACAAGAACAAACTGGGAGGAGGGTAGAGAGAATAGTGCAACAATGAATGAGTGGAAGCCCAAAATCTCTGTAAATTTTTATGAAAATTAATAAAATATAATTATAGAAAAAAAAAAAAAAAGAACAGAACTCACAGCAACTCTATAGGAACTAGAACTGTCCCACAGGGATTCTAAAGGTGTGATCCTCAATGGAAGTAGATTGTCACACCTTTCTCTTATGGAGCTCATGGCTATGAACCATAAACCTTTAGGTTAACAGCTGAATATTTTTTTAAAAGAAAAATTATTAATTTCAGTGAAAATTTACAGAGACTTTGGATTTCCATTCATTCATTGTTGCACTTTTCTCCCTTCCCAACCCTCCCCCCCAGTATACTACCTGCTTGAAAAAGTAAAATTCTTTCATTGTTTTACAATCCCTCCCCCCAGGTCAACTCCACTATGCAGCCTTCGCTCTGGACTCCTGTCATGACAAAAATACCTAACCACATATCCCTTTTAAACAGTTTTCTCCCTTATCTGTTTCAATGCAGTATACATTATTGAACCCATCTTTCTCAGTCTCCCTCCCAACCCTAATGTCAGTCCTGTTTTACAACAGTGGCACCATGCAATATTTGTCCTTTTGTAACTGAGATACTTCACTCGGCATAATGTCCTCGAGGGTCACCCATTTTGAATAATACTGGATGAGTTCCTTGTTTTTCCAATGCAGTGTAGTATTCCATTGTATGAATATACCACAGCTTCTCTATCCATTCATTTGTTGATGGGTACTTAGGTTGTTTCCAACTCCTTGCTTTTGTGAACAAAGCCGCAATAAACATGGTTGTGCATATATCTGCTTGGATGTCAGTTATGGTCTCTTTGGGGTATTTCCCAGTAGTGGAATTGCTGGTTCAAATGGTATCTCTATTTGCAACTTTTTGAGAAAGCGCCACACCGCCTTCCACAGTGGTTGTACCAAACAGCTGAATATTTTTAACCACTGTACCACTAAGACTTCTTGGGCAGTTGAGCGGCTAGTAAAAAACAGATATGCAGTAATTGTTAAAAATGAGCACTTGGTGGGGGGAGGGTTGGGAGGGGAGAAAAGTGCAACAATGAATGAATGGAAATTTTTTTAAAAAGTATTTGCAATGAATAAATAAATCTTTAATCTTTTTTTAAAACGAGCACCTGGCACCAGAAACTCTTGCCCAAGATTAATCTTTACACCAGTCTTACTCACTGCCATCTAGCCAGAACCAACTCCTAGCTAACCCTGCAATTGATTTTCAGGGGCTATAAACCCTACAGGAGATTGCCTCTTTTTCTCCCACAGAGCAGGGGATAGATTTGAACTCCTTGCCCTTGGGTTGGCAGTGCAACTCCTTACCCACTAGGTTACCAGAGCATTAAAACAAAAGCATTCCCTAAAGTCTTTTTTTTAATTTATTTTTGTGCGTGTACCGTCAAATCGGATCTCACTGGTACAGAAGATTGTCCCTCCTTCTCCAGCACAGCATCTGGTGGATTCAAACCACACACCTCTGGGGTTGCAGTGCAGTTTGTCACCAGGCCGCCAGAGCTCCTCCTAAAGTCTTCTTAAAGCCAAACAGTTTAACTAATTAAGAATGTCTACCTTAAGCATTATATTCTTCTATGTTTTCTTCCTTTCTTTCCTTCTATCTGCCTATCTTATGTACCACCTATTAAAGGATAGACAATCTCCTCCCATGCAATTCTGCCTCTGAAAACCCACTGGAGGGTCAGCTATGAGCTTCTTCTGACTCGACAGCACACAACAACATAAGGAATCAAAGTGACAACAGCCACTCAAAAAATTAGACCTTAGGGGACAGTGAGTTTATGCTAAAAGAGGAAGAAATCAGAAAAGCAGGGCAAGAATGGTCACACAATTCCATGAATGTTGTTAATGTCACTGAAATGTACAGAGAGACAAGTGAATTGGTTTATTTTTTACTGTAAACATTCTCAACAACAGCAAAGTAAATCATTTTTTTAAAATCCCTACCTGGAAGACGAGGAAGTTACGAGCTTTGATGAGAATGCCCAACTTCTCTAACTCCTCACTGTACTCATGTAGCTGGACCACTTTGTTGTTGATTTTGTACTCAGAAGAACCCCCTGAAAAACAATGCATGAGTCAGGGGCAAGGCTCCCTTCTACACGAGCTGACTAGTCCAGCTACCTCCCAGGACCCAAGGAGAACATACTGGCAAGTCTCACCCACCAACAATAACTCGGGCAAAAGTTCGGTCCTCAGCACCTTCCTCAGAGTAGACCATGCTGACAAAGGCCCTGTTAGCAGCCGGCTTGCCTACAGGAGCTCCATGGATCAAGTCTCGAAGAGTCTTCACCCGCAAATTGCTGGTCTTTTCACCTAGCACAAAGCTGATAGCATCCATGAGATTTGATTTACC